GTGATCTAAATATAGTTTGTCTTCATTGATGGTCATGGAAAAAATTGTTTCTAAGAAAAAAATTATGCTAACCAAGCAATTGGAGATGTAACTATATCCTGTGAAATACAAAGTGCTGTATGTTTTAATTCTATTTTATGATATTTTCCTTGTTGATGGTTGCATTTCCAATTGTAAAAAAGCACTTATTACAAATGGAAACTGAAGTAACTGAAAATATATCCGCATTGTTTCTTCCTTAAATGTCATCAGCTTAATGCGGCAATGTTTCCTATGTGAACTGGTAAAGAACTGCTACTAATAATCTGAACCAAAAAGGAAAACAATTACCTACAGGATAAGATTGTGAAAATATGGTGTTGAGAACTATAGAGATATACAAAACAACACCTTATGCTTTTTATGTTAATTTATAATATGCTGTATCACAAAAGAGCACAGTCATATGTTTTCTGCTGCAGAACCATAGAATAACTGAGGTTCGGAGGGATCTCAGGAGATCTCTCATCGAATCTCCTAATCAACACAATGTCAGGTATGAGGTGAGACTAGATTACTCAAGGCTTTATCTAGCTAATTTGGTCTTGAAAGCCTCCAGGATGGAGACAGCAGAACCTCTCCGGACAGCCTGTTCCGATACTTGACTGTGTTAAAGATGAAAAAGTTTTCCTCATGTCCTGTCTGAATCTCTCGCTTCAATTTGTGCCCGTTGCCCATTGTATCTTGTTCTCCTACCATGCTGGGTGAAGAGTAAAGAGCATGGTTGTGTCTTCTTGATGACCTCCTCATAGTCACTGGGAGGCTGCTATGAGCTCCCCTTGAAGTTGTCTCTTCTCCAGGCTGAGCAAGCACCAATTCCTCAGCCTCTCCCTACAGGGCAAGTGCTCCAGCCTCTGACCATCTTCGTGGCCCTATGCTGAACTTGTTCCTGTTTGTCAATATCTTTCTGGTAATGGCCCCAAAACTGGACACAGTATTCCTGATGTGGTCTAAGGAGTGCTGAATAAAGGAGGATATAATCCAGTAAGTAGTACAGTGTTTGACCCAATTTTTAATTGCAATTATTGCATGTAACAGCTGTATCAAAAGTGACACTTTTATTTCTAGCATATGACAGCATATCTTCTGTAAGTCTAAAAAGATCATGATAGATGGACATATAAACTTTTATAAGAGGTGATACTGCTTAGTAAAATATCTCTTGAAATAATTTGATTTTTCATTGGTTGATTCTTAAGAGCTGGAAGACAGATCTGTTAATATATTTCCTATTCTTTGGTACTTATAGGTTGCTCATGTCTGTTACTCACCACCATCAAAGATGAAAAGATGGGAAAGTGGGTAAGATGAACTTTTGCCTCTCTCAAAGGCGTTACACTCTTCAGACTTATTTTCTGATATTGTTTGTTTCAATTTATTTCAGTATAATAGTTCCCAAAGAATAAAGAAGATATAACCCCTGAAATGTTGGCCACTGTGTGTGTGTGGAGGGGGAGGTTGTCATTCCTAGATGGGGCATAGTTCATTAATGTCAATTATTGGCAAAATTTAAAATCCTTGAAAGAAAAAATACGTTTTTCATACGCCTGGGATTCCTGCACATGTGCGTCCTTTGTCCCGTAAGTTGCTCTAACCACAACTGTAACTTTCTTACACACGTTCTATGACGCCTGTGCTCGCACAAACATGCTGTGGTCAACCTAGAGCTACCTGTGTGCTAACTGTGTTTCTTGGCCGTTCACTCACAGAGACAAAATTTGTTTATGGGAAAATCCCGTGAAGAGGAACATCTGTAAAATATCATTGATCGCTTCTAGACATTCTACAAATTATTCCATCAACTTTAAATGTATAATCAAATAATCACATCATTAATTCTCTAAGTTAATTCTGTGGAACAACAAAAGATGACTAGACCTTTTCTAAATCTTTTGAATTCTATACAAACTTCTGTATTTTGTACATATAGATAACTGGGCACATTAAAAATGGTTCTTTTTTTTTGTCTACAGAAAATTTTGACTTCCAAGTGAAGGTAACAGAGCAAATGTTTTTCTTTCAATGAAAACTTGAAAATATTTCTATGGGTACAAATTTTTGCTAAGTAGTGAATAATAGCCACTACAAGCTGTCTTTGAATATTTTATTATGGATAAAATAATATTATTTACACAACGGTATTTTCTGGAAGTCTAAACTTTGCAGCAAAAAATAATTGGTATTGAAATTAGAGTTTAACTTCAGAAAAGACTTGAAGTGTTTCAGAGGAATCTGCAGATTCAGCGTATTCAGATTCTATGTAATTTCAAAGAAGTTCAACATAAATCTTCATTTTCCTCTGGTGTTCCACTCCCTCAAAATAATTATAATTTGGCCTCCCACGGTATTCTCCCAATTGCCTGAATTAGATATTACATTGGCTAGACTAGATATGTACCCCGTCATGCAGTGCATTCTTCAGAGTGACAGGGTACTTGGTGGTGAATATATTCCGTCAGAGGGACTGATTCATAAAGGACAGTTGTGGTGTAAGAGGGAATATGATGAAATAGGATAACAGATTTTGATATTAAAGTGACTTGAAATTTAGTATGAAAGTGTCAGAAGATTTTCGATAGGAGTTGCCAGGAAAGGTGTTCTAGAATTTCTTTATTGAGTTGCTTTATCTAGCATGCTAATGCTAATTAGACTATTAGATGTGACTAAATACTAGTACCCAACCATTTGGCAGGAAGTAATGCAAACAGTTATCACAACTTTCATGAATGTATCTTCATGTAAATGAAAATACTTGTATTTCATGAAAATACTTGTATTTTCTACTTATTCACTGACAATAACAACACTTATTTATCCAACAATTGCTATCGTTGGATCTTGAAGATTATGGAAAGGATCTGGCATATCCTCAGGAAAACCCAGTATTTAGATTTGACACTTGTCAGTATAGGTCTTTATCATATGACATCTCAAAGTCTTGACAGAATAGGGACTTATGCCCAAGGTCAGTCTTCTCTGGTAATTTTTGAATGTGAATTTTATTCACTGTCTCTTAAAAAGTAATAAATGCTGCCTTTCATTTCAAGAGAAGGAGGCCCTTGAGGCTGTTGTGTTTCAGTGCGCTATAGAATGGAAGGATTCTTAAATGTATTGATTTTTAAAGTTACGAAGGACTTCGGAGGCTTATGAAAGGTGCCGTATATGTCAGTAACAAAATTATTTAGAACGTGTGGCTATGCATCTCCTCCAAATCATTGAAGACAGAGGTTACAGAGGCTCTTGCACTCTATTCATGGACAAATGACCTGCCTTAAGGCAGGTGTTTGAGTGGTTTGAGACAGTCACTTGGAGTCTTTCTTCTTAATGACTTATCTAACTTCCGTTTCACAGATTGATTAGATCACAGACACGTACTCATGTTCAAGCCAGCGTATTGTGTCAAGTGTGGAAATAGGCCAGCATGTATACCATCTGGTTTACCTTTAGATCTACATAGGGAAGTATGCCATTTTTTACAAATAAAGGAAATAAGTTGGAGGCTTTTACTGTTGGTTTTTATAGCATAGTGATCCATCCACCTTTCTTCTTGCTTCCAGTTTTCCTCCCAGTTGTCATCAATTTTCCTATGTTTTCATAGACCATTGATCTATCCTTTGGGATGCCATAAGAGTCCAAGGGGCGTAATACTTTTTAAAATCATACAGTTCCAGGCATCACAGTCACAGCTCATCTGAAAGGGTGCTTTAAACCAATATCATTTTCAGCAAACTATACAGCTGCATGCTATGAACAGACAGCCCTTTGGCCATGTCACCTGTAAAACCGCAGACTAACTCAATTTTTATCTTGACAAAAGCCATATAGAATCACATCATGATCTTATTGCCGTTCAGCCCGGCTCTAGATGTTGTCAGCTGCCAAGCAGCCCTCAGGCTGCTCTTTTACTCTCTGATGCTAGCCCAGAATATAAAAACATATAAACATGGCTTTAACCCACCTAAATCCTAACCTTCTCATACAAACAAATTTGATTCTGTCACTTCCGTGACTTTTAGAATACACAAGCTCAGCAACTATATCTGGGTGTATTGAAAAGTTTTAGTAAATATTTTTGTATTTTCTGGGGAAAAACAGCAACGTTGTGTATCTGAGTACTATATTATGAGATGAAAATTAGAGAACAGATAGTAAAATACAGCATGTTTTATCTTCACATATATTCATTAATAATCAAAGCAATGTAGTAAACAATCTATTGATCAAATTTGTGAGGGGTAACAAATTACAAAACCACCAGAGAGAAATAACATGAAACTCCCAGAAAGCAGAGGTTCTTGAGTATAACATACAATATTCTTAAGCAAAATTTCTGAATGAAAGATTCTAAAAAGAATATAGATTGCTGGAAAGGAAGTAGAAGATGATACCTGACAATGCATTAAATCTGACTTTTTAGCATGGAAGATGGTTGAAAAATCCAGTTACAGACTAGGACAAAGGCGTGAGGAGGAGCAGCATCTCTTGTTTTAGTGTAGGTTATGATGGCCTAAATTCTTTCAAAACTTCATCGGTAGTCTTACTTGATCCAGTCCCCATGTCTCATAGTCTCGGACATGAAATTCATTGAGATTTCTGCCAGCCCAAACCCCAGGGATGTGAAAGGATTTTCTGTAGGTGTAACAATTTGAATTTCCGTGTTAGCGGCTGTAGACAAGCAGCCTTTGAGACAAAAACTTTAATTTCATTCTAAGTTCCCAGCTCAGTTTTGGGTGTTTGAGTAAGATGCGTATAGTCTATACTGTATAGACATACAGCAGCTGTACAGTACTGTATCAGTCAATTATTTTGTAATTTTATGTTTCATGTTAATGAAAATGTTATGAGAGAAACCAGCAGGAAAAGAAAACCAATTTGAATCTGTTTACTTAATAACTCCTTCTTGCTGATCCATTTAGGTGTTTTATTCCTTTGGAATTGCTTTCTGTATGCAGGAACACACCTCATCATTGTTTTTCTGCCTGACACAGTCTAATCATTCTGGCTTGCAGACCTCTCACTTACGTAATAACAAGTGCCTGTAGCAGAAAAGGCATCACTAGGATATATAGTCTACTTGTAAGTAACAAATATTTTATTTTCTAAAGGAAACAGTATAGAAATCCTAAAAGTCTGTCTTGTGATTCAAATCATACATATAGTAAGATGTTTAAATCACACTCTCTTCATAGACTTAGTAGAGTCCAAGAAGCTTTAATAAAAAGCTCAAGATTACTCTGCCTGGTACTTTATAGCAGTATAAGAATTATTTTCTTTCTGCAACAACCTGCAAAATTAGACTTGCTTTTTCACCTAGCCCTAAAGCACAGAATTTTTTTATAAGTATCTTATTTTTGTCAATATTTTGGTTAATTGTGCACAAATCTTATTTGACATAAATTTTGGTATTTCCAGTTTTAACTTTTTAGTTTTTCTATATAATTATATGTTCCTAAGACATTAGTATGAAGTATTAAATATCAAAGAAAACAATCTTAATTCTTCCTTGCTTTTTTATTCCAGGAGCACTAGTTAAGGCATAGTAAAATTGATGACCAGAGTGCCATTTAAAATTCTTTACTCTTCAGTACTCTTACACTCAATGAACCAGGGTAGTTCCCAGATCTTCAGTGTTCTTCTGGCACGTAAGTTCAACTTATTTAAGTCTGATTTTTATAGTAGTTTACATCTGCAAATGGAGACAAAAGACTTCAAATGATTTTCCTCATCATGAAAGGCTCATGATGATGACAAATTGCACCATTATCTCCAGGTCAAATTCTTATGATCATCAACTTTTAGACATACCATGCTGTTAAGGTGCTTCATCTTATGCTGTGAACTCCCTTAATGTGTGTCTTTAAACCTTTGTTAGGAAAAGGAAACATCCCTAGGGAATCCTAAACCTTGGACTGAAACTTCAGCCTTTGGAAAACACTTTTAAAGGCATCAGTGTTATATATTAATACTTTCCACCTTGAACCAGCCCTCTGTTCTATTTCTCAGAACTGTTATACTGTCAAAAATCTGTATGCTACTTGCACTGTAATTTTTTCAGTAGCCAAAGATATATTGACCTCCTAACTACTATTCTATCACTTACTCACTCAGTGCACCTGAAAGGCTTTCTTAACAAACAGGGGTATGCTAAACTAATAATGGGTTCACAGCTTTCTGAGGATGAACAGGGTCTTACAAGTTAAACGAGTTTTCTTGCCCAGTATGCATACTTGCTGCTCACTGCTGTGCCCTTATCTATTGCTTGTAAGAGGAAGGCTGTGTCGCCTGGCCCGCTAACTAACCAACAAGCTAAAGCTAGATCTGTGTCTTCCTTTTATTATCTCTTTCCCTTATGAAGAACCAAAAACTTGTGTAACAAGCTGCTTTTAATCCTAACCTGTTTCAGGCGTCCCTTGGGGCAAGATAAAACTACTTGCAAGGAAAGACTTCCAATTTACTTCTAAGATTGTAAATTGAATGGTCAATATTGCTTAAAATATATTAATGTATCCCTATGGCACTAACCCAAGAGTTTTGTATGAGAAGCTAAAACATGAGGGATACTTTTTGTAACAGAGGATGAACTACTTCTACAGCCTGCTGAGTATCTGAATAATTTGATGTAATTTGTGTGGCATGTCATCTCTCCGTTCTCAAAACTCTTCCTTTATTTAGAAACAAATGTAATTTTTTTTCCACAATATATTCATATGTGATTTATTTCAGACAATAAGCTATTTTAAGTACATGAATGCTGCTTGTCTTTTGGATGTATTAACTGTGTTGCGTGATGGTGGACTGTCTGATGTTCTCTCAATGACATGAAGGTACATACTTCACTAAAATACTTAAAGATGTGTGTAGCTGAGCATGCACATAGATAGCAATGATTCATATCCAATCTAGTTTTAGAAATTTAAAACTAATCTCTTCTGAACTGGGGGGCTATTTTGAAACATTCTCAGATTTGTATTTTGTTTTTATTTAGATAGATTTTATTGCATTATAGAATATAACAACTCTTGGAAACATTTGCCTGCTCTGCAATGATTTCTAGAAGACTGAATCTTTGTGATATAGACATTTCGATAACCCACATATGTGTGTTTCTTCTAAGCAGAACTATCCAATGCATAGCAGCAAGAAGTTTTTAGTTAAGGGAAAGGAAGAGAGAAATAATTAGGGAAATATTAGGGAATATTTCTAGGTAATAGAAAATTAGGGAAATATTCTTCAGTATGATTTTTATCTAACCCATCAATTACTTGAATATTCTAACATTGGCTATAAATGAATGCGATATCTTAATGCAATTAACAAAAACAATAGTAAGTTTATTCCAGTTACTGTAAGTCAACTAGAGAAGTGTAGATGAAATCAGAGAAGATTTTTTTCTAGTTCCTACAATACCTAAAGTAAATTAAAAATCTCAATTGCAGCATAAGTACTGTGTCTCTGTTACAGTAGAAGATCTCAAAATTCAATGGATGGATATTTTTTTGGATGCAGTCATTGATTCTGTGACTGTCCCTCAGGAGATAAGGAATCTCACTACAGTTTGCTTCATTCTTTGATTTTGATCAATACTGTGTAACAAATCTCTCTGCAACACAGCAACTATTTTCAGTTGTATTGCCAACTTTTCCTCTAAATCACTGATTCACCTAGGATGAACTTAGTACCTTCTATGCTGTAAAAATATGTTGTATATTTCTCTAGAGTACTTGAAGTGCTGAACATTAATCTGAAGAAAAGGTGATTCTCACAGAGTTGTTAAGATGCACAGCTGAGCTTCCTTGTTTTCTGTTACGTTTTACTGGTCATCTGTGGGAAACCTACTGGTCATTGGGCACATTTTGGAAAGTATTTTGCCTTTTTGTTGTCTATAAACCATCACACCAAAAAAAAAAAGTCCTTTGTATTTTACTGGAATGTTTTACAAAAAAAATAGCTGAATGTAATGAATCCTTTAATGAGCTATACTTACTTTTATTTCCACAATTTATGGAAGTATGATCATTATTATATATGTATGCAACATCTGTGGAATACTCGATTTTTTTCAATTACTGTAAATTTAAAACTGTAATGTTAAATTAAGGCATAAAAATAATTTATTAAACAGTAGCATCATTAAATATAGCTTATTATTTTCTGCAGGCTATTTAAAACTGTTCTAAGCAGTACTATTTTCTAAAGAGCCATTTCTAGCAACATTTTATATAGATCTGTTGCACTGTAAAAACCCCCAGCTGAAGAAAATTTTCTAGATTTCAGTTCTATTACAAACATTGAAAATACAGGCAGTTATGTGCTTTCATAAAGCTTTATTGTCAAGATGTTAAATTGGTTTGTAAGCTGTATTTGTAGAAGACTGGTTGTGTTTGATTTTTAGTTTTATAATTTCCAATACTTTGCAAACTTCAAATTTATTTGTGAAAGTGTAATTACAGATATACATTTGTGTTTGGTTTTAATAACTGAGCACAAGCTCAAACCTAGTGCAACACATACATACACAGTAATTCTCTGTTTGACCTCTGACAAGTAAAAACTTCTGGTCCAGTGAGCTAGAAGCACTCCGGCAGCCATGCACTGCTGCAGCATTACTGTAGAAACTGATAAGCAAAGCTATGAAGTGGCAGAGAAAGGATGATTTCTGAAAATGAGCTATGTTTAGAATGACATTTTTTGCCAGGGAGAAGAAGGCTTCCTATGAAATTATCTTCATTCTAGTTTGCTCTCCAGTTCAGTTGGGTATGTTTTTAAGGGATTTACAATGACTTAGTTTCTATTTTCAGAAGAGTTTGTTCCGTACCCTCTGATCACTCAAATAATGAACAGTCAATCTGACATAGATAATTCACAGTGGTATGAAAAGATAATTTTTTAAAGATTTAATGAAGTGTTTTAATTTGAATTTCGGAAAACAAGTGCTTTGAAATGACTGGGTTAGCATACAGAGTAATGATAATTCTCTGATCTATAATTCCCAGATATACAACCTTACATTAATTTCTGTGTTCTAGGTGAATTGTTTACACTCTGCAATAAGTAACATATTGTAAACATTTGGACAAAATCATGTCTTTTTTTCCTTCTTCAATGAAGAAAGAAAAGAAATAAAGTCAAAACACTGCCTTTTTGAAGCTTCCATCCTTCAGGAGAAATTACAGCCTTCTGATACTTTCTGGTTCCCTCATGGTAAGATCTTTGGCTCTGATTTGCTTTCATGATACATTACTAACTAGGCTTACTCTTTAGCATGACTTCAGTTTTGCCCTTGCAGCTTTTATTATGTGTTTGATATTAGCCAATTCTCCTGTCCCTTCAATGCTTTAAGGATTATATGTGTCTAAAAATATTTTCAGTAGATATTTTTTACTTCTGGCAACGTTGGCTCTTTCTGCATGACACAACTCCCGTAACCTCAGAGACAGAGACTAGTTCTGCAATATTCCTTATCACTTAGTAATGAGGTGGGGAGAAGGGGATCAACCGAGCTGCTAGGTAATTGGAGCCAGATGAGTCTACGACCCCATGGTATATGTAGACGCTTTATTCCTTCATTTTAAATGCTTCCAAAGCCTGGATTATTGCTTTCATAATGTGAATGGGGAAATGCAGGACATACCAGCCAAAAGATATGAGTCATAAACCACATACTGTTATGGAAGAGAGTAGCATTCATTCCTAGGGAAGAATGACTGGATTATCCCAGAGGGGAAAGATTTTATCTCACAAGCTGCTACCAACCACAGGTTATATGGGAAGGCTGCACCATGGATTTCTTCTTCACTCAACGCTGCTTCTTAAGACTAGCTTTTTAGCTAATAACTCATCTTGCTAAGCTTTTAATTTGAAGCAAGGGTGGATTCCAGAGGGCAAATCGTGTCCACTCAGTAAAAAGTTGGCCAGAGTTTAGGGGTACAAAGAGAAAGATAGACACTCAGATAATGCATTACTTTGAATCCAAGGAGGGAAAAGCTCCTTCCGTTATAGGAGATAAACAAGTAGGATTGTGAAACTGAAACAGCACAAAAATTACTTTGAATTTTTACTTTTGAGTTTGGCCATATTCTTGTGATTCCGAATCCAGTAATTTTTGCACAGGTAATAACACTAGATAAATAGCAGGCTATTTGGCTATACATATGATTATCAATAACAATGGATTTTTTAAAGTATTGGGCAGTCCCATATTAGTGCAATAATTTTAACAAGTAGACTGGATGCTAGAATGAGATCTGAAATTTTAATACACTCAGGAGGAAGTTCTCGAGTTCATCCTGAGACAGTTCACATTAATCTCTGTTCTATTGTCTTTTTGGCAGGATGGAAAACATTGTAAATAATCCTTTAAGGATTAATGGCTAATGGGCATCCAAATGCATACAAGGTTTAGTAGCCTCCTTTAGTCATTAAATTCTTTGTTTATCCCTTCCAAATAACTCACATATATACCTAACTGATTGTAAGCATTCAGTCTTTTACATCTGGGTCACTAATAGGCTTTGTTGACAAGGCAGCGCTCATTTGACTTGCCTGCAATCACTCCTCCGTGCTTTTTTGCATTTGTTTGTCTAGAATGGTAAAATGAATCCATTGCAGGGAAAGCAAATTGGAGATTTAATAAAGAGATAGATGAAAAGACGATTAAAAAAAATCTAGATGACAAGCTATGTGAATTGAATGATATTTCATTGTATGGGTGGGAAATGTTGGTAATAGTTTATTTGATGTTGTTTGAAGTTACGTATAGATCAGTGATGAAGACGTGTGCACGTGACAGATGAGGCTCCCCTAGCTGAAAAGAAAGTCCAGCAGTGTGACTGTTCCAGTTTTACTCTCAGTTCACTTTTGCCAATGGTTTTTTTGTTGTTGTTGTTTTGATGTGCAAAGTAACTACAGCTTGGAGGGGAAAGCCAGGCAGGAGGAAGGGACTTGCAGGTCAGTCTCTTTTCCAGCCTGCCGTCTCCGAGTTGTCCTTGGTCAGTGGGGCCTGGCCCCAGGTTGGTTTTGCAGCCTTAGCTCCAGAGGCCTTTGGCATCTTTTCTTCTCCCAATAGAGCAGAGAAGAGAGAAATGATTTTGTTTCAAACTTTTGGTTGGCATGGGGTCCTGTCTTGCGAAATGTGGTGGCTGTGAGCCGTGCGGCTCCCGAAAGGCAGAGGGAGCTCCCAGCACCTCATCGTGGCAGGGGCCCAGTGCCCGCCCCGCCCCCCGGCTGCAGAGGAGCCAGGTCCCTGCTTGCCAGGCTGGTGGGGCAGCGGTGCAAGCCGTGCCCCAGGCTGGGAAGTCAGGCAGTGAGGATCGAAACCTCTCCCCTGCTCACTCCCTAGGAAAAGAGGCTTGTCCAGTCCTGCAAAATGATTCATGTATACCAAACTTCTCTTCATATTAGCAGCATGTGCTTAATTTATTAAGCTAAACATGCATCTAAGCTTTTGCAAGACTGAGACCTAAACTGCAAAAGGTGCGTCTTTGGGTATATGTGGCCAGAGTTTTTACTTTTGTAGGAGCTTGGTGAAGTCATTTGCCTTTAGCAGAGGTGACTGCACTCTGAAAATCGAATTGCCGATTCATTGCCTAAGTGGGAAAAAATTATATACTTAGTACCAGTACAGCATTGGACTTTTTAGTATATAGAGACTAATAGTTTTACTTGGTGTTACTATGATATTTAAGGATTGGCTTTATTTTGGGTCATCATCCTTATGGCTATGCACAGAACTCTTTGGAGACATCATTCACAAATGAGAGTGATATATGGCAGCAAAATATAAAAGTAAAGGGGGAATGAGG